CAATACCTAATAGTCAGTATTGAGTTAGACACAATAAAGTAGATTACCTAATGGTCAGTATTGAGATAGACACAATGAAGTAGGTTACCTAATGGTCAGTATTGAACATAATAAAGTTACCTAGTTAGCATCGAATATGTGAATAAAGTTTAAAAACAATTTCAAATAACATACAGCCGCTGTGGGCATCTCAATCACAGCACTCACCTGTTGTATTTGAGACAGATTTAACAAGAGATTCATTACAGCCTCCACATAGTATAGTCCCTGTTTTTTCTGTGAAGTAAATGAAATGGAATGTTAACACATGGCTCTTCATCTCTAATAACAGGAATACAAGTAATAGAAAGAATGTATACTATAAGTAGTAATTTAACTATGTGTTGTCTCATCATTGGTGTACATACCACAATACATGACTGTAATGTTGTTATAAGTAATGGAAGTATACTATGTTGTCTCAGCAGTGGTAACCATGTATCAACAGGACCACTGACCAATTCATCCAAGAGACATACACCAATAATAGGTAACTGAAGTAAAAAAAAAAAAATGGCATGACATAGCCCCTGTCAGGTAACATTTGAAACTTTACTAAGAACCTCCAAGTGTCCCAAGTTATTGGTGGCATAAATACAAATAAGGAATACTATATTTATAATATTAGAAGCACATCTTCAATACACATAAAATCGTGTTTATTGCATGCAAAAATATTGAAATATACACAATGTATATCTTATTTGGACCATAGACATTTATATTTACAGTAAGCATAAGTGCTTCTAATACAACAAATACAGCATTAAAAAAAGTAACTGCAAGCAATGATCAAGGTAGTTTCCTTGTGGCTATGGTTTAAAAATTATAATATTTAATGAAATAATGACCACAAATGATGACCTAATATTTTGGTCATATATCTTGTCAGACCACAAAATTATAGCACCAATTACATGCCCCTATCTGCAACAGTACTTAAGATATTACAGTTATGTATATTATTGAGGTCACATAACCATACATTAGTATCACATTGTCAGATGCTTTCATTATAGCACTGGTTGCATGTCAATATCTGTAGGAGTGTTTAGTACATTACAATTATGCATATTAAGAAGGATACATTAAACTATTTATACCAAGTAGGTATATGATATACAAGGATTTCAACCCTGAAGTAATCACATCCATGGATTATCCAATAGCACTTATTTTCATTTAAATTTGAGTACGGTACTCAAGTTATCTGTGAAGCACCTATAAATTGATTAATTCATGCAAAGTAGGTAATTAGTAAGAACAAAAATTAACCCTAAACTGAACATTAGATTTTGTATACACAGGCTGAAATAATTAATATCCAAATTAGCTACTTAATAAACAAAACCATGGCCCTCATGTCTGTGCATTATCACAAAGTATCTGTGAATTAAATTCGATAACATTTGTTAAAAGTTTTTTTTTAGATTTTGTTTTAAAAGGCTGAAATGGGTAAATAAGCAAATTAGCTACTTAATAGGCACAGACAACTTACAGTGATCTCTGTCATGCATAAAGTTCACAACTTACAGTATGTTTCTTGTTGTGACTTGATATCTTTTTCTGATCTTCCAGACGGTCTGTGATGTCAGTTGGTTGCTGACAGTATAATGTACTACTTTGTTGTATAGCAAGGCAAACAAGAGGAAATAGTCTGCCAACCAATGAGTTGGATATTTCTGTAATATTAATCATTGCTTGTTATCATTGATTACATGCATGGCAATATTTTATCATTTATTGAATTAATGGGTGGTATACATATTATAATGGTAGTTGTAACCAAATCTATACTATTTTTATCACAGTATGTGTGAATTCATATAATTTTATTGCAAATAAAAATTGGAAAAATTAATCTTTTGAGCACTACTCAAGTTTTTTTGTACACATATTCTTCATTATATGAATTAATATGTATGAAAATGTTTCTACATAATTCATAGTTTTTAAAGTTACTGTACAAATAATTGACAAGTATTATAGTATTGAAGTTGAGTGTAAATTTATTTTGTCATTTTTTAATTGTGATTATAAAGATTCACACATGAAATAGAGATTTGGTTACAATCTAAATTTAAAACTCGACTACATCTTCAAATATAATCACTGTGGGTAAAGTTTAAATGAAATAAATCAACTATTATAATATTGTTGATGTAAACCAATGAATTATTTGAATATTATAATATTAGCGACATCTGTTGGTCCACCATTATTAATCATATGTATGAGTAATAATATATTAATTACTGGATACTATAGTGTATGTGGTCACAGAGAATATAGCAACAGAATGTATTACTGGATACTATAGTGTATGTGGTCACAGAGAATATAGCAACAGAATGTATTACTGGATACTATAGTGTATGTGGTCACAGAGAATATAGCAACAGAATGTATTACTGGATACTATAGTGTATGTGGTCACAGAGAATATAGCAACAGAATGTATTACTGGATACTATAGTGTATGTGGTCACAGAGAATATAGCAACAGAATGTATTACTGGATACTATAGTGTATGTGGTCACAGAGAATATAGCAACAGAATGTATTACTGGTATCTTAATCTTTTCACCACCAGACTTCCTCACCTAAATTTGTCTGCACTTTTTTCTTGTATTCTTCAATATTTCCAATTCTGAAAATGAACTCTAATTTTGAAGCCAAGTGACAAATTTGAGGCAAAATTAAGATTTTATTCAAAACATTTGACTATTTTTATCCCTTCTGAAGGAAAGTGCAAACTATGCACAAGACTATTTGGTGGTGAAAAGATTAACACACTGTCTGCGAGAATGTTGACAAACAATATGTTAATAAATAAATACACAAATACTGAGACACAAAAACTCTATTCCATACATACACAGAATACATCACTGTATTAAAGTAGTCACCACATAACAGAACAAGTGAGAATTCTTACGTTGAGTAATTTTAACATCTCTGTTATACTGTAATAATACTGAAATAGCAGCCAATAATGTGCTTTGTATTCTATTAATAACTTGATTTCTGCCAAACACCATTTTCTCCAGAGTCCATACCAAGTCAATCAGTTTATGCCATTGCTGATAGTGACAACTAAGGAAATGTACACAGAACAAGTAATTTATTCCATTTTTGTTTTTTATTTCATCAAAAATGATGTAATTACAAGTAATTAAAACCGATGAGATACAGTGATCAAGACGCTCTGATGGAGATCACGGAAATAGTTCGAAAGAACTAATCGTGTCCGTGGCCCTTATTTTATTAACAGTAATACAGTTCTATAAACATATGTTGAGATAACTGTAAAAGTATATATATCTGTAAATTTATATAACCTTAATAAGTACAATTTTTATAGATAAATGAGATAAACAAACAAATAAATGAATAAATAACTGTGAATAATAATTATGTCAATGAAATAAGATAATGTTTTAACCTTGATATTCTATGATGTTTATTAATAAATAAGGGGAGAATGTTCCAGTGTTTGATAGAGACATATGTTATATTATGTTAGAGTGATAGACTTGTTTAGGGATTGGGAGGTACCCATTGGAGGATGTTTTTGTTCGGATAGCGATGTGATTGTTGGTTGAAATAACTACTGATATTATGAGCAGTGTTTATTTTTTAAATCAAATCTAAACAAGCAGCCTGTCGAGTAAGATAGCTCCGCTGGCAATTAAAGAACAGAAGATATCATTAGAAAATGAACAAATCTGAGAGAGGTTTTCAACAAGAAGTCGAAAATATCACTTTTTACCAAAAATTACAAAAATATTCACCAAAATTAGAGAATTAAAGATATCATTACAAAATGAACAAATCTGAGAGAGGTCCACATGTAGTACCTATATATGTAATATCAAAGCAATTGGACTTGAGGTTTTTAACAAGAAGTCGAAAATATCACTTTTTTTCCAAAAATTACAAAAATTATTC